AGTCTATCTATTTGTATGTGGATTATCATTAGGTCAATATAACTGGATCAGTGAAACTAGCTAGTTAGTTGGTTACAAAAGACTACAACATATTTTTTTACTGTGATTATAAATACAACTCAGTTAAGATATTCTAGGTATGTTTATTTTAGTTACTTAGAGTTCTGTTATTTTCAACACATTATTCCAATTGTGATACAACTTATGACTCATTACAAAAAATACCGAACTACTAATCCCTTACACTTTTAATACTGAAATTAAAATCACTCCATGATGTTAACCATGCAATTCAAATATCCAATCTCCATAAAATCGTTGAGTAGAAAGTGAGATATATTTCGTTTTTATAAAAAAATCACATAATTTTACATAGCAGCGTGAAAGTACTTGAGTATTTTTATGATCATCGAATGTACTATTAACTTATTAATTTTGATAGTTGAACTCATGAGTTGATCTAAGGTAGACCAACGGTGGAAATCCGAAAAAAATTGAACGGCCGTTTTGTTCTAGTATGGTACTCCTTAGCATTGCACATCCATGGTCCTATGCGTGGGACTCGAACCCAGGACTTTTAGTCTAGTGAGCGAACGCTAAACCTCTATGGTGATCGACTCGTGAATTAAACCGTGAAAATACTAGACTCTACAAATCCTGATACTGATAATTCATTAATAGTTTTACCTGGACTAAATCAAGATAATGATTAACATTTTTGCTACGCTTATTAATGCAAAAGTTCCATTGATGATGATGACTGAATTAGTAACGAATTATTTACTCATAAATCAGTTCAGACTGTAGGGAAAACAACTGGTAGTAAAGTCAATTTGACACGTTATAAAGATATAATACTTAAAATCAACGAATCAGTACAATTATCATTAAGATATTCCTTGCAAATTTAACTTTATGTAACACGAATAACTGAATTATCTTATAAAATGGAACTGTTTATTTAATTCATAGTTATATTAAATGGTTATATGATGTGAAATATAGGTATACGATCATTTAAAAATAGAAGATTAGACAGAATTACTAACTAACTTGCATCATAAACCGGTAGGGTGTTTCTCTATTGTTCAACTAAGGTACATGACTGGAAAGATAATTTACTAGTGACAGGACTTTAGGGAAATCACGTTATAGGACGAAACAAACATCTAATGCATTCAATTATCTGTTGGTAACTCAAATGAAGTCTATTTGTAGTGAATACCACCTTAGAATTTCCACAATTTTTTTTCATATTAAAAGTTCACCAACATTAAATTTACTTTAAGATTGAAGGGTCTATTTAGTAAAAACGGGTGAGAATAATCATTCTTTCTTTCAATGTTCAGTAATGGTGTGATATCTAGCATTTTCGAGTATTTTTCCGTTCGCATAGTGTCATTGCTGCATATCAAAGTGTAATTTTCATTGGTGACTTCATTTCACTCATCTACAGATAGCTGAATTTGTCTTGTGGAAACACAAGATATCACGCTGTCACTGAATAGTGAGCAAGGTAGAGCTTTCCTTATACTAAAATTATCATTAAACTTAAACAAAGCAGTTTTGATCTTTATTTTGTTATTTCTGTTGTTCTCCTTCTCTTATTAGTAACAGGATATAGTTCTAGTAGACTTGAACTAAAGATTACTTACATCCTCAAAAATACTTGTTATGAAACCATTGGAATATATTTTGATGTTCTTGAGATACCTAGTTGATAGAGGTCATATGGTAAATAGAACCAAATCTTTGCAAATAATCTAACATATACCCTTGTCATTTCTTAATGGTATTCAATTCCATGTCCAACATATACCAGAAACTCTGTGGATTTTAACCTTTTACTTGAATATTAAAAATAGTTGAATTTTGTTGTTAGGTCTTCTGTCGTCTAAGTATTCCTTAATAAGTTACTTTGATGCATGTTATAATACAAGAAATTTTTTCCCTTTTTATCATTACAATGATTATCGTTTAATCTTTATTTAGTAGTTTGGACGATTAGTCATAATTTCCCAATCTTTTCATAATTAAACAATGGAAACTTGTTATATTTAGCAATAAATCATTTAAATTAAGCATAAATCACCTACTGATTAATAAAAATATCTCAATATATATAAATCATTATTTCTCCTCATTGATTCACTCTCTTTGTAGTTGAGTAGCTATCTAACTGATTTTTTCTTACTCTCTTGTTAGTTTGTTTATCTATTCAACTATACTTTGTGTCTAAATAACTTGTTATCAGCTAGTTACAACGTCTTAAATGTTTACATACATGCGTATAAAAACAGTATACTGGGATGAAATGAAACGAGAAGAAAACTAGTTATGCTGGTATCAGGATACCCTTAGGATTTTTCTTTATCTTGACAAGAAGAGAAGAAAAGAGAAAACAACATTCTCTGTTCATAATGATAATGATGATAATGAAGATGAATGGTTACATTAACATGTATATGTGATTGTTGATTATTCATTCTGTTTATTATGTTTAAAAAATTCTTAATGGTTGTCATAGTACTAGTGTAGTTTTTTTTACAATAATAGGTCATCAAGTTAATTTATTTAATAAAAGGATGGCGGTAACAAGATTACAGACAGAAAATCTCTATGCCTATCACCATAATTAGTAGCAACACACATTCCAGACACGTGTTTATATCTATCAGAAGGTCAGTATCTTCAACCTGTATTCTCTCAATTTGCTGATATTTCAGTGATTAAATCTATTATTTTGCTTCCAATTTTTTTAAAAAAAACTATTGTTTTCTTGATTGTATGATCATTGTATTGTTACTCATTATTCCACACGCGCACGCAAATATATATTTATTCACAACATTCATTCATTTATAATTGTTAATTAATAATTTGTATTTATGATTGTTTCACCAGTGACTTATTTCAAGATGTTCCTGAAATTCTAATAAGAAATTTTGACTGGAACAGTACAGGTATGTTGGGAGTGAATTAATTATAACCAGTGGTACTGGATGTTTTTGAGGCCACATCAAAAATTCTTTGAAATTGTGGTTTGACCCCGACCTAGTGATTCTATTTGTGAAATGTTCCTCAGAAAATTTTCAAGTTATGAGTTCGCTCCCTGATGTTATGGTGGTATATGCCCTCCGGAGTCTCACATCAGAACTAGATAGTTGTCCAGCCTTCTTTGCTTTACAAAATTATTCCATCTCAGAACAATCTGTGACAAATACAGACTACAAACTAAACCAATCTTCAGAAGGTTCTTTCAACTAAACTATTGACTGATACAATTTATTACATCTTATTTTCTACTTACTTCTTCCTAAACTGCAAGTCTTTTAACCGAATATTTATTGCAATAACAAAACCATTGTATATATCGAATGTCTATATGTTTTAAAAATAAATATATCAGATATATTCCGTAATTAATCAGAGATTGAAATCTCAGTTAGTTTGTACAACAAAAATTCAATACAAATTACTGTCCACTCTTATGAAAATTCTCAGTTAGTCAATGATACGTAATATAGAAGCTAATATTCACGTTGCATCAGAAATGATCAATATCTCTTTTAACTAGGTCACTTTTGGTGGTTAAGAATTATTCGAAGCACATAATTTTCTTTCGTACAATTAAAGTATAGTTAATTAGCAACTAAATCGTAAAATAGGATCAAAGTAATATTGATCATAAACTTTACAATAAAAATTTATAAAACTGGGCATCATATCATGTTATAAAGGAATATCGACACTGATAATGATAACTTCACGGTATTAGTTTTACTACACGTTTTCATATCTAACAACAATTGAAACACAACTATGTTTATACGCAAATGTGAAAGAAGTTTATAATTATTTACTAGACAATGAGACGTAAGAGTAACAACATAAAAATTATCTATTTGTTGTCATTATCATGATTTTCTGATTGATTTACATTAAAATAATAGTTTTGATGCTATTCATTTTAACAACTAATTGCTTAAAAAAAATCGGTTGGTATTAATCAATTTACTCCTTATTTATAATCCCAAATATTCTAACTGAGATCATGAATCAATGTGTTAGACTACCATTTAAAACCTGAAAACACTAGACAACTGTTTCGTCCTATTATGGGACTACTCAACAGTGCACAACAACAATTCCGCATGTGGGACCTGAACCAAGCACCTTTGATCTTGTGTGTGAACTCTTAATGTTTAGACAACTGAATCAACACCTAACGGTAATAATGTTCCATACTGAGCCGAAACAATAATCCGGTGCTTTCAGGTATTCGATGGTAATCTAACATTGATCCATTTATTATCTCAATAATCTCCATAACCCTTTACTGATAATAAGATATTTACAAATTTTATTTATATTCAGATAAAAAATTAATGATAAACGACAAATTAGTTGAAATTATTTACAATTTTGTAAAAATGAATAAATTTACACAATTTATCATTTGCCCTTTTAAAATAATATAAAGAATATAACAGAGAGTAATAGACAATGATTAGATGTGTGTAGGCAAACATTGGAAAATAGTTAATACTACTAATAATATACACATTAGTTAGAAAAATCTTTGTTGATTTTTTTTTAAAAATCATGGTAATATTAGTTTATTTTACAACACTAAGTATTGTCTTTATTTTTCGTCACTTTTAACCGTTAACGAGGATAATTTCGTTATCGGAAAATGAAGTTGAATAAGGTTGGGAGGTGGGGTGGGGAATACAATAATTCGAAATTGTTGTATAACATATAAAAGAAAATAAACGAAATAGAAATAAAAGAAATCAACTGAAATTATAAACAGAAAGAAAGAAACAATTTGTTAACAATAGTGATCTGTATACACTTTTACCATGAATATAATACAATAACTACACAATATTAAAATGGATTGATATCAAACATAAAGTTGATGATATGTACAATACAATTGAAAATATGTATGAATATGATTAATCAATATTGTGCTGTTAGGATTGTTGTTGTTACTACAGATATATTATTTGATTTTCTGATTTAGATGATTTTCCATTTGAATGACTATAAATTGCTGATACAGGAGAACGAATCATATTTACATTTTGATTACGTAAAACAGTATGTGTAGGTGTACGACGTATTCGGAAATCAAGTGTTGGACCGTGTAAAGTCTAGAAAAAAAGCAAAAGAAGAAGGAAATTGAAGACATAAATAATAGAAGTGTTGATCTGAAAAATCTGAGGATTTTATTAAATCATTATCATTCATAACATAACTTTTAAATTCATTTTAATAATATCATACAAATACCAATGTATAACTTAGGACAATACTTTGTTGGGCCAATGAATTATAAATTATTATCATTCAGTGAAATTCTTAAGATATCGGAAAAAGATCGAAATTGTGGTAGTTTGGTGAATGCTACTTATGCTAAAAATTATGAGTAGTATGTAGCATCAATCGATGGAAATAACGCGTCCTGTACTACGCTAAAAGAACGTAGATATCTAATACACTGATCTAGATCTATAAACATCTATGGTATGATGATCCACATTGTCTACATAGATAATGAGAATTTTTTATTGAATTATGTACATTCACATGTATATATCCATATTGTATTGGATATAAAATCAAGTCCATCATGTATATAGTGAATAACTAATGTAACACATAAATTAAATTAACATTTTCAACTTGACTTACATTTTTAACTAATGGAGTGACACAATCCTTTGAGTTACCACAAACTGGGGAATGAGCACGTGGTCTTTTAGCTAAGAATGCAGCTGTTAAATTAACCTAAAAAAACGAAAACAATCATTTTATGGAGAAAAACACAAAGAGATTTACACATATCCAATAAAATAAATATTATAGGTGAATGCTTGTTATTTGTAATAAAAACTTTCACTAAGCTAATGTCTTATATTTTTATTTTATTCATATTTATCTCTCTTCTCTTAGTGTTTTTTTTTTCAATGAGACTTAAGGTGTCATCGAATGGTATAAATTGTTCAGAATGCATTCGATTATCTATACATCATATATACCAGTGGAGTTCAGTCTGTGTCAGGTGTGGAATAGCTATGCACTGCAGGTAATAAATGAAGGGTTGCAAGAGTCCATAGAGTGATTGAACTCAAACACTAACACCGATGAATACAGACCAAATGGTCTGGAGTTTAAAGGTTTACATACGAGACTGGAGATCCTGGGTTCGGCCTCCACGCTCGGTCTTGTGTATATGAATACTTGGATAAAACGGCCATCTAGTAGTTGTAGGTTTTCAATTATGTTCTAGCTAAGCTACAATCTCCATTAATCCTCCATACAGGTACACTATATATAATAAATATGTCAGGGTATAATATGAAAATCTGTATCGATAAGAAAACCCCATTGAATATTACAGCATAACTAGTATCCATTGCTTACTCTGTACGGAGAAGAACAATCAACTATCTCACATTAATCTTAATCGTTGTTGAGACAATGTTAATCGCATTGATTTTTAATGTTACATAATCGTTTGAGGAAATGTTAACAAACTACTCAACTTTAAAAATAAAATAACAACACAATCTACTTACTATGGGATTATTTGATTTTGTATTCATGGTAGATGAATCCGATTTTGTTAATGATTCATTCGATTTCTTGCCTTGTGAACGTGGACTTGGTGTCATAGTAACACAATATTTAAGACTACAACACAATGCAGGACTGTCTGATGTCTAATTTAAAAAGAAACAATGAAAGTTAAGATCGATTACGCAATAAAATAGACACAATTAAGCTAATTATATTAACTAATAAATAAAAGTATATTTCATAATCATTGAATCAATTCACAATCTCTAACTTGGTAACCAAATTTAAAGATGCAACAAATTCAAAGAAATATCTTGTTGATATTGTTATTTTAACATTCAATTATTGTATACCAAAAAGTAAAATATACACGGATCAATGAACAAAAATTAATTGGGGTATATAATTAGTATAAAACCAAATGTTAACTTTAAATGTTTGATAGGTATAATGAAATAGTATATACATACACACGTGTATAACAAGAAAAAGAAACCTTAATACGAATATATATATATATATATCTACTCATATCTGAGACAAAGGTCATCTAATACTTTTCACAAGGATTGATAAATAAAGATATCACAGTAAAATTTATTGATGCTGTAAGAATAATGTATTAAATCTTTTCTCTTTTTTTTTTTATAAAAAGGACATTTTTATAATTATTTGATAAATAATATTTAACAAACAGATGGAAGATAACTGGTTGGATAAATTTTCAATGACAAATTTAGTATTAAAGCATAATTCTGTCACAGTTTCGTTATGGTACTTTAATTTATTCGAATGATTAAGCATATTATATATAAATAGGAAAATAAGCTGAGAGACAAACAAACACGAGTTCATACACATACATGCACATATATAGACAGACATATACATATACATACATAAGGATTCAAATAACACTAATATTATCATTTGTTAGTCATTTATATGAAAACTTTCACTTCAGTGACTATTAGACATAGATCAAATGTATATTTAATATATTTGGATATTTGGCCAAATAAGTACATAACATTATGTGAAGTACAAATTGTAAAAGAAATGTGAAGTAAATGAATACTATATTTAGTAGGAAGAAATCTAGTCTGAACTAAATCGATTTATAGCTGATGATGACCTTTATATAAGTATATTTGTATAATATTAATGGTATTGATAGGAAATGACTAACCGAGAACGTTAAATTATTGTTGATCGTAGTGTTTCACAAATAGAATGATTAAATGACCTTAGAGTCAGTAACAAATTATATAACTTGCAAACTCAAATGAATTGTTGATTATTTGAATTGTAGCATTGAAACTTAAGGGTATGACCATTGTGAATAGATTTTAAGACATTACATACAGTCATTAAATTTCTATACAAATAATGTAGTAGGCCATAGTGACAAGTTGAACAATATTTGTTATCAGTATGGGGATTTGAGGAAATTGTAGTATTTTAACAGTTAAATTCACGAGTCAATCTAATCTAGACCACCATCGAAAACATGGAAGCAGTAGACAACTGTTTCGTCCTAGTATGAAACTCCTCATCAGTGAGCATCTACGACCCCATATGTGAGACTCGAACCTATGACTCTCGATCTTGCGAGCGAACGCTTAACTTCTAAACCACTGAGCCGACATATAACTTCAATCGATACATGATTTCGCGCGACCATTCATCTATTGTCTCACACCATTGGTTACAACTCACTAGAACTCCAAGAAGTCCATCTTGAAGCCAGTCATTGGTGAGCATATGATATTATCAGTATGAAAATTTTTGAAGATTTTAGTATTTTCACATATGAATTCAAAACAGCCGTCCAGTACTTTCAGGTTGTGCAAATTCGTACAAAAAAATCAAACGATTGCATTCAGATATATATTTAATTCACTAGATCATGTACATGATCTTAAGTACCTATTCTTTGTACAAGGTTCACTATTGTTACTTGTCTTATCAAATGTAGATAGACTAAACAATGATGAAACAAGTGACTCATTATTCAAGTGTTTCAGCTACTAACTGATAGATCACTGTGAACTATATTTGCTTCGAAACATCATTATCACAGCACTGCATTTAGAAATTTCAATAAAATTCAAATAAACAGTGGTAAAATTTAAGCATATATAATTGAATTTTATAAAACTCAACAAAGGTCAACTCAAACATTTTTAATAAAGTCAAAGATTCTATTTATTCAACTATTTTTTAAAAAAAGATATTAGCCCATGTAATGCTTTACTTATTTTAACTCAACTAGCCTCGTCTTGAGGGGTTCATGGCGTGGACATACGAATAACCTCGCTCGTCCACCCCCCTCACATACAAACACCACTACGTATTCAGTGAGGACGATAGAGAGAAACAGAAATTTGTATTACTCAAAATGTTCATCTTATTCAAAGATAACATTGAAACATTTCAGTCATTTCTATTCCATATGTCTTGGTTATTCTCATTTCGACAAAGTGAACTATAAAAATAATCAAAATGGTTAGAGTAGATTTTTTTTTCTTTTTTTCTCTTTTTTTCCTGTTTTATTTATTTATTGAATTATTGATTGATTGGTTGATCTATAAAGACATTATTGTTTTTATTATTGTTATTATTATTATTAGCAGTAGTATTACTAATATTATTAGTATTTTGTGGCCATATGTGCAAATGAAACGACTGGTATTATTTTGTTTACATACCTATATATAGATTTATATATGTATACAGCGAGAATTGTGGAAGAAAACACAATTAGTGTAACACAAAAATTTCTGAGCAAAGCTACATGTGTGGCCTATTCTGACAATAATAATAATAATGATAAATTGATGAGGGGGTAAGAGGGTGATTTCATTCTTGTGGCGGAATAGCATTTGTACTTTCATAACTTGTATCATACACCCACTATCTTTATCCTAATATCCACTATTACTTACATTATTAGAAAAAAAGTCCATCTGTTTGACATGAATTGTTACACAGTTTAATGTTTGTTTCATTGAATAGTAAGAAAAAAAGGAATAACTGAAATTTTCCCTTTAGCATATAAAGAAGATTCAACATTTTGTATACATATATAACGACATTTATCAAAATAAATATTAATTTATTGATTCATGATTAATGAATATTTTGATTATAATGTTCTAATGTAAAGAAAAAAAAATGAAAGAAATGAAGAGCCAAATAAGTTTAAGCCACATGCCTACTTTTTATTGATTTGTCGAAAGTAATAATAATATTGAGTAATAATGATCAGATCTATCTAATATATAGGTGATATAAAATGATCAGAAAAGAAAAGAAATATTTTATCGCTAGAATTTGATGTTAAAAGAAAGATGATCATATTCTTTGACATGAATATAAATGTCATTATAAAATGACATTATGATATTTAAAAATGAGTAATTGTTGAAATCATTTCCAAGGTCGATTAAATCTGATTGTACTTATAATAGTTAAAACGAAATTAGTTAATAAAGTTGAAACGACATTATATAATATGATGTGAATAATGCAAAATTATGATCTAAATAATCTATGACAATGAAAAGATTTTTTAGATCATCATCAGTAAAAGACTTATTCCCGTGTTGGAAATTTATAATGGAATATACTAAATAAGCTTTGGATTCATTTCATGCAATTCAATCTAATCACAGATGTAATAATTTAATTACCTAATAAATACATAGAACCTGAGCCGTTGATTATACAGTAAGATTATATTCATAATGATCCACTGTATTTAACTGTTTAATATCAATCTGATTAACAGAATGATTATCAACATGAAAGATAATATATACATGGTGACTATCTAATAGTTAGTATCGGGTTGTGAAAATTGTTGAATTTTAATTGAGACCATAAACCAACACATGTCAGGCCATCATTGAAAACCTGGAAGCACTAGACGGGCGTTCGTCCTAGGATGGGACTACTCAGTATTGCACATCCACGATCTAATAGTAATATGTATAAAAATCATTTGAAAATTATAACAACAACAAAATATTAGCTAATGATGACAATAGCACTTACTTGATGTAAAATTAAATTTCTTGTACAATCATGTAAAAATAATGAAGGAACTTGAAATAATCTTGTAACAGATAAATTAGTTTTTAATTCATCTCGTGCTAATTTAACACATAAATTTAATACATGTATTGGTAATGGATTAGCTAACGAAATTGGTGTAGTAGTTGAACGATCAAGAAAGAATATCGGTGAAAATAATACGGCTAAACTAGTTTCATCTACTTCACAATCTGGTTCATTTGCAACTGTAGCCATTAATTCAAATAATGGTTTAATAATTTGTTGAACTAAACGTATTGGACATAATAGAAATAATAAACGTATAGCACGACGTTGATAAATTTCATTTTGTTTGATGCTACTAATTAATTGAATAAATAAACGACGTAATGGATTAGGTATTAAACCAATACCTTGTCTACGTAAAATGCGAGCTAATAAACAAGCAATTACTGATGGATCATGTTCATGTAGTATTCGATCAATATTATTCATTTCAGTTGTAAACTGACTTTCATATTGTTTAGCTGAATTGGATTTTTCTAATGAATTTGATGACGTACTGTTGGAAGATGAAATGAAGTAGATGAGAGTCCATGTTGATGAAATAAAATTTTTTCTAAATTATTCACATTTGATTGATTTCCAGGACGTCGAAAAATAAATCGATGTTTGTCTAAATTGAAACGAAATGAAAAAAATAATAGAAATTAACGATTAGATATGATAGTAATCATACGTTCATTATATCTAAGAACATATTATTAATTAAATAGATAGATAGATAGATAGATAAATAGATAGATAGATAGATAGATAGATAGATAGATAGATAGATAGATAGATAGATAGATAGATAGATAGATAGATAGATAGATAGATAGATAGATAGATAGATAGATAGATAGATAGATAGATAGATAGATAGATAGATAGATAGATAAATAGATAGATGTGTGGATAGATAGATAGATAGATAGATAGATAGATAGATAGATAGATAGATAGATAGATAGATAGATAGATAGATAGATAGATAGATAGATAGATAGATAGATAGATAGATAGATAGATAGATAGATAGATAGATAGATAGATAGATAGATAGATAGATAGATAGATAGATAGATAGATAGATAGATAGATAGATAGATAGATAGATAGATAGATAGATAGATAGATAGATAGATAGATAGATAGATAGATAGATAGATAGATAGATAGATAGATAGATAGATAGATAGATAGATAGATAGATAGATAGATAGATAGATAGATAGATAGATAGATAGATAGATAGATAGATAGATAGATAGATAGATAGATAGATAGATAGATAGATAGATAGATAGATAGATAGATAGATAGATAGATAGATAGATAGATAGATAGATAGATAGATAGATAGATAGATAGATAGATAGATAGATAGATAGATAGATAGATAGATAGATAGATAGATAGATAGATAGATAGATAGATAGATAGATAGATAGATAGATAGATAGATAGATAGATAGATAGATAGATAGATAGATAGATAGATAGATAGATAGGATATATTGTGTACTCACAATTTTTATTTCTAAGCATAAATCGTAAAATTGCATTGACCACTGTATACCAATGATTAATTTCATTCTCTTTGGAAACTAAAAACAGAAAAGAAATATTTACGTTACAAAGTATAAAAGTACATGATTCTTATAATGCGATTATTACCAACATTTATCATAAAATATATCAAATTACTTTGTTTACGGTACAAAACAAGAATGCGATACATAGAGATGGGATGAAGTGAATACAGATAATTTTAAAAATAATTCTGCATTATAAGTTGACAACAACTGGGAAATCATTGACACCTTGCAACCGTACATACATGAACATACACAGAATTCACGTCCTTAGGTATATATATATATATATATATATATATATATATATATATATAGAGAGAGAGAGAGAGAGAGATGAAACGACCGTCCGGTTCTTCAGGTTTTTAATGGTGGTTTAGCTTAGAGTGACTCGTGAATTTTACAGTTAAACTATATTTATATACTTTTAAAAATATTACTTAATACAGATTGATACCAGTTAATGAATTACTGGAAATCATGAGATCATTTTACTAAGTTTACTCAACTTCCCTAAACGTGCTTCATTTGTATACCTTCAAGCAACACTCCAATTATGAGCATTAGTAATACTATCTAGTTGTCTTAACCAATGTAGATGAGACGATATTTGTACCGGCAATTTAGTGATTAAACGCCAAATATTGTGTCACTCTCTCTGTAATCATTGACAGTTAGAATTTTCTACAGCCTAACATAATCACTTGTATAAATCTAATCTAATTCACACAATAAAAGATTGTTAATAATCCTAAATCAAGCAGCTGACTATTTACAAATTAATCAATTAAACTCATTTTATCAAGTACAGGTTTATGTAATGAGACCTGAATTATACCCTGTTTGTTTAAGGTGCAGTGATACTTCTCCACCACTTAAGTAGGAATAAGTTAATAGTAGCTCTGAATGTTTTCATACAACGCTTATAAACTATTTGGTTAACTAAATTAAATCAAACATTACACGAACAATAACTTACCATTTTGTTTTTGTTCACGTAATCGACTCAACATTTTCCTTGGTGTATATTGTGTTTTACTATTGCTTTCGTTTGTATTATTACTATTACTACTATTATTATTATCATTGACTTCGGACTTATTAGTTGCCAAATCTGTCTTAACTGTTGTCGTCGATGTTGTTGATGATGTTAACGTTGTAGTTTGTGATTGTTTAGCATCTTTTATTAAAATTTCACGAATTTGATCTAATTCATCTGAGGTGAATACTAAAAAGCCTAAATAATTTGTAACTAATGCTAAAAATTGCGATGGATAACGTCTACGGAATTCATACAAATCTTGATTTGGTTCAGCAATGAAAATATCTAATTGTGTAGAATAAGAACAATTGGAATTGAAAAATATGGAGGATGATGGTGAATCATTATTATTGTTAATATTAATATTATTGTCATCATGTTGCATTGATTCATTTAATATATCATCATGTTTTCTGCAAATTGATAATGTGGTACGTGATGTCACCAATGGAGCATTTGTGGGTACAACAACCTATAGTAATAAACAAATTAAAAATATAATTTACAAACAAAACATAATGAAACATGGATAATTACTACACTTATACATATTACTTACTGACATTGTGAATTACAATTATCTCACCTACTATGGAGTGATTTATTCATTTTAAAATACATGAAATAATTCATCTACTCGATATATTGTTAAATTAACGACTATATCAGTAGTAAAAATAAATTATCTTCTACATTTTATTCAGTACCGTGAGAACAACAGGACAAAGAGTTTTTCAAAAAAAGAATAATGATAATAATTCAGTATTTAGTTTGAGTAAATATACATCTTTTCAATGTAGTTCATATAGTAAACTAACATTAACTGAATGTACCATTGATGATTATATTGTAAACATTATCCATCTAACCAACCCTCTAAATCATTAAAATCTCATTTTAATTATCTGCTACATCTATAGAACAAGTTATTTTTTTTTCTATTTAAACAGTAATTATGTGGGACAGGACAAGTGTATAGTTACACACAGACACCTAAATAAAAACGATTACACACTCCCTTTTTTTTGTAATGAATGTGAGGGCGAAACAATATAATATGACATGAATAATATTTAAAAATAATAAAAAAAATCCTAAGCATTAATGAATAATATTTGTCATTCATATTCAATTAGAAACAATAGAAACACAAAATACCTATAGACAATTGTTTATATATTGTTGATAAATGTCAAAATGTAAATATGTTTATCAATGTTAGTTCATCATTATTATGTGTGTATGTTTGTGTAGTTTTATTCAATTAATAATATTTCTTTTTACATGAATCTGTTTATAAAACAACAACAAAAATTAAAAGTGTCTAATGCCAGTAAAACTTGAAAATTCACTGATCGATTGATCTGTATTGATAAAGTTATCATGTTTTTTAACGGTTAGTCAACTTCAATTCTTTTCTGACCTAATTGTTATGTATATACATGACGATAACAACAACAACAACAACAGTGACCCAGTTTTTTTTAAATTTATTAGTTAAACTAAGTATGAAATTGTTGTATTTCTGTATGAGTTTTCTATCGATAACAACAAAACAGATAAAGGAAAGTGTTGAATCGACAAGATAATATTATTAAATGGATATATTTATTTACTGAGAATTACTCTCATTTGTCCCCAGTTAATATTGGATTTTGTGTTGGTTACGTTTTATTATTCTATTATTAACTCATTCACTAAGTACATATTTGTATAATTGACTTTGGACCATAATCTAATAATTGTGAAGACTAGTGATACTAATCGGTTCAGCAAACCATGGTAGATGGAGCAGGTTTCGAACCCGTGGCTAAATATTTAAGTATTTGAGCAACTGGCCAATAGGGCTATTCACACATTTTGTCATGAAGTATTACTGTTATAAAGTTAACAGCGCTTAATAATTCTTGATAATATTTGTAAATTGATAATTTTAAGAATAAACTGCTCGGTTGATTTAAATTCACAGTCGAAAAAGAAGCTATGATAAATATATAGTTGACTTTCATGAACATCCCTCCATCCTATACGCTGTACTCACTTTTCTCAGATGATTAATAACAAAATGCTATTCGTCAATTATCTTCTTTCCTAAAATGACTTGACATTTGTTACTACCGTGACTGTATCATATAACATAAATATGTGAACAAAAACGGCGTGTTATTAGAACCCCACTTCTATGATATTGACAACCCCTCTTCAGAAGAACAGATTGAATTTCTAGTATCATATGGTTCAGTAAAATGTTTTACAAACTGACAATAAACACTGGGTAGAATTGGTTACCGCCATTGAAATTATCTTAGTTATTCCGTTCAATTATATCCAACATACATCTGTTGTTTACATAAAACAGATCCATGATTTTTATATGTCCATAATGAGTTCATTAAATACCATCTGATCATTTACAGATCTGATTAATCTCTATTATGATATGATTCATTGATTATTCGGTTCATTAATTATACAATAACATATTCAATCAAAGTTATGTAACAAAAAAATCGTCCATTTACCAGATCAACATAAACAAATAAAAATTTAACTAATCATCTATTTATCATAAATATTTTAGTATCTAAGATGGACATGTCTATAAAATATTTTTAAGAAGTAGACAATAAAAACAGTTTACTAAATCACATATTTAGGTTTTTCTCTTACAAAAGATTAGTTATATATTGGCATTCGTTTAGTAACAATTACAACCTAAAGGGACCATATGATTACGTGTCTGTGTGACTATTTACATGTCAAATGAATAATAATTTAACCTTGCCAAAATAGACTGTGCCTAAATCATGTTGACAAAATGAAACACGGTACTGACGAAACAGACATTTTAATTATGCAATGGAATGACAACTTAATTGATAGTCATTTATCAAGTTGTCCATCAAATATGGTGTTACAAATGGCAATAGTAACTAACACATTAGGCAGATGGCTAGTAACATGTTGAGATCACGAAAATAATTGTCAAAAACAATCAATGCCTACTTTATTATGCTAATTCGCTGAATAAATTCTACAGATAATTGTTAGGGATATTTCGGTTAAACAAAATTGTGATTTTTTAAAATGAAGTTGAACATAATGTAGTGTTATGAAATATATCTATGTGCTGTGGAAAAGTTATAAAAGAATAATACAGGTTTATATCCACTTAATAGACTCAGACATCAATAGCTAGTTAGAATGATACATGACAGAGTTCACTATTCGAGAATTAAATACTTAACTATTTATTTGTTACCCTCAGACAGTGTTTATGAGTAATGTGTGAAAGTCATTTTTAGTTACAGGCATTAACTTAGTAGAAAAATTAGGATTTAAACTTAGTAATCAATCATCTAAATTACATCAACCAACATTTCTAATTGGATTAGTATAGATAAAAATGGATAACAAATTTAGATGTAGTTAATTTTATATCTAAATACAGTGATTTCCAATAGAGAATAAATGAATATAAGAGATAAGTGGATAGTTATTCTTTCTTCGACTTGTATGCCCAATAGTTTACTCGAAAGTTGAATAACCTTCTACTATCCACTGGTATTTACTAGTTCCATATTCCATGAATACAATAAATTTTTATCAAGTTTATTATCTTATAAAAAATCATTTAAAAAATTATTCGGTACTTACCTTCAGTTGTGATGAACAAGTGTTAAATTTCCAGTTAAATTTATGATTAGATTTTAAAGTTTTATTTATATCACCAAACGATCTACTCCGTCGTGCAATACGATTTCGACATGGTGTAAAAACATTTAATAATTTAGCTAATTTTTGTCCTGATGAACTTCTGCGTTGTGATTGTTGGCGTTTGTCGGGATCATGTTCATTAACTGATGACTGTAATGAATCAATAGAAAGTACAGTAGAAATTGTATCATGTACACTATTATTTGATAATTTTTCAATACTTGTAGCTCTACTTAAAAATCCCGAATCAGTATCGTCTAATTTATCTTTATGATGTTTACTGTGATTAAATGTGATATGAGATTGTTGTTGTCGTTGTTGTTTAAATAATTCTGGTGATTGTTTAGACATAGCTCGAATTTGTGGACTCTGAACAAATTCAGAATAGAGAGTCATTTCAATTACAGTAATTTGTATGATTAAATCGACTCAATTACTTAGCTTTTATTCATTTTTCGCTACAAAAATCAACCAATAGGAATTTAATCCGTTTTCATACGTTAATAAAAATCGACCAATCATAATTTTATAATTGGCCATCAATTATTAAACTGTGATTTAAAGGGATCAGTGTGATGACACGTGAATAAGATTTATGAGAATTTTACTGACGAATAAAAAGTAGTGTATTTTTGTACTGCTGATAAACCAGTTCGTAATAGGTTCATTTTCTTAAGGTTAACGTATAATCATGTACATTATCTACGTTTAAATTTTCAGTTAATTTAGAAAACAGTGGAACCTTGAAAAATACGATTAAACTGAACATGTTTAAATATTCATGATTTTTAGTTTCAATCATTGTTTGTTTGCATGGACGAACAAAGTTCATTTAAATCACGATAATTATTCGGGTCCGTTATGAGATAGTAACTCACTGAAGACAATAGTGGATATGTTGATCAAATTAGTGGATTAGTTGAAGTTAGACATTAACACCGCTGGATGCCAGTTAATTGGTCTAGGGGTTAAGCGTCCGCGCGAGAGGCCGATAGGCCGTGCGTTCGAATCTCGTGAGACGGGACCGTGGATGAGCAATGCTGAGGAGTCCCACAATAGGATGAAACGGCCGTCCGGTACATCCAGGTTTTCCATGGTGGTCTAGCCTCAATTGAAATGTCTAAACAATGTGGCAGACTAGGAGGGCCAATCAAAAAGTAGTGTAAACGAGAAAATACGACCCGAGGGTGTCTAGAATAAGTATAAGTCACTGGATACAAACCGAACTGAAAAAGATTCACTTCAGAAGGACCATTTCTGATAATGAAGAAAAAAAACCTCTGGAACACAAAGAGTCGTGCTGATTCTGTCCAAAACAGCATGAAAAGAACCGACTAGATGACAAAACTATGGCTTCAGGATCATTGACAAATCCTTCGAAACGAACAAAAAAATAAAGACAACGGATGTCATTAAATGTTATGCACTTATCAATAATAGCAGTGAAAATGATATAGACTAATCTTATGTGAGGTTCGAGTCCATTCTACAATTTGTCCAGAAAAGGACCTGACTTTTGTGATGAGGGGTCCTAACTCTATGGTCGAGAAGGATAACTCTGGACACTAACACCAGCCGAAGCACTGAAGTCAGATATAGTGTGACTGCAAAGATGCTCCGCATCATATTCAGAAAGATTTAGGAGGAAGAACAAGTCTAAACAGACTGGGAAGAAGTATACCCCATAAAGATATCAAAGAAAGGACGTCTTGATAAGTGTAAGGACTACAGGGGCATCAAACTACTATCAGTACCAGGAAAGATTTGATAGACGCCAAACTACAAAATCAACAAGTTGGATTTCGTAAAAATTGATTATTTATCGACTGAATCGCGACACTGTAAATGATTGTTGGGCTATCGATCAAATGGAATTCATCACTACACATTAGCATCCTTGACTACGAGAGAGAATTCGACGGTGTGGATAGGAGAACCTTATGGAACCTTCTTCGACACTATAGTGTGCCTGAGAAAACCGTCAACATCACACGGAATTCATACGGTGGTCTAGAATAAAAAGTGGTTCATGGAGGACAGCTGACAAATGCATTGTAAGTGAAGACCAGTGTCAGACAAAGCTGCTTACTCTCCCACTTTACCTTTCCTACAGAGGTCAACTGAACTATGAAGATCTCCACATCTGACGGGAAGCCCGGAATACAATCGATAGCTTGTATGCAACTAGACGACTTGGACTTCGTAGATGAAATAGCTCTTCTATCCCATACACACCAACAAACAAAGATGAAGATAGCCACTGCAACAACCTCTTCAGCAGTAGGCCTCAACATACACAAAGTAAAAGCAAGATCCTAAAATACAACACAGAGAGGATGAACTAAATCAAGGATTAGCAAGGGCGATCTGATGTAAATATGAAGGCATGGAATGGCAGACCAAAGGCAACATTTCTAAAATTAAAGAACATTTGGAATGCGAAAGGACCGTCATACAATACCAAAGTCACAATGTTCAAACCCAAAATTAAAATAGTTCTATTTTACTCAACTGAAACTTGGAGAACTACAACTAGCATCATTCACAATTTACACGTATTTATAAACAGTTGTCTACTTAAGATACTCCACATCCACTGGCCAGAGATCATCAGTAATGGCCGAATATGACAAAGAACAAACCAGTTAACAGTCGAGGAGGAAACTAAGAAAAGTTGCTGAACACACACTTTGTGGAAATTATGAAACTACATCACATGACATGTTCTAACTTAGAGTCTTAATGGTTTAAGTGAAGTGGCAAACCAAATAAATTATGGCGTCCGAAATCAGTGGGATAAATTAAGACTATGAATAGCACTTTCCAACAACTGGAGAGGAGAGTTCGTGACATAATTGGTTGGGGATCAGTGGTCGACACCCTATGACTCAAGAAAGGTAATAGGTCTAAGTTAATTAGTAAGTAATATTTATTTCATGAATTGAAGCAAGTTCATGTCTGTTAGTTGTCATCGTTAAAATAAGGCAATATAATTTTTCAGTATGAAAAATAATCACTGAAATTACTAGTTAAAAAACGTATTTTGACTAAATTTGAGAAAAATATAAACCATTGAATTAGAGACTAGTGATTTAAAGATTTTACACTTACTATCAGACTTAGTGTTAAGTTTGTACAGGCTCACAATTGAACATGAATTAGGAGGTCCGAATTAAGACAAAACAGTCATTTTTTTTCTTGGTATTACTGGTTCCTTAGTTAGTTTCAATTCTTGATTACAGTCATTCTTTTAACTCTATAAGACTCTATAAACAGTCAAGTTAAATAAAACTTTAAAAAAATCTCGTAGCATTTTTTCACTGATATCATTACACTTGATTTGATTATCATAACTCTCCCATACAAACATAAGTGCATATTGTACACACAGAGAGAGAGAGAGAGAGACAGGGAAATCGGTTTTTCATCAAGATGTTGGGATCAGTATGCTCTATGAATCATTAAGATAAGATGAATGTGAATATTATTCACATTCATGACAAATAGTATCAAATCCACAGGTGTACTTTTAAATTGATATGTGACTTTACCGATATTATAAAAGTGACACTATTTGGGTGAATTTTTTATCACTGATCATTTAAAACCAGGAAAGATTTGGCAAATGTTTCATTTATACAAAAGAGCACCTTAACAGATTTCATCCACAACCTTATCAGGGATAGAAGTTATGAAAGGTGTGAAGATCTTAAGTTTGATTTATAGCAAAATCATACATGAAGACTGCTAAGAAGCCTGATATCTGAACAAAATAGCTGTCTGTTGTTTCTTAGTCTTCAGTAATTGTCTAATTTTTGTAAGACCATGATACATACTACAAAGATCTAACTGTCAAAATTAAAATACTTTGATCATAGTATATTCTACTTGCTTGAGAATTATATCTACTTACTTTTTACGAATATCATCTATTGATTTAAAATGATTTCGTCAGCCATATTTTCACTCAGAGTTTCATAGATAAGTAAAGTATGCGTATTTTTAAACAAAACGTGACATTAGTTACTATACAGAGATCAAGAAATGAATATTTCAATAGCTGATATTCAGAACAAAAATTAAGAAAAAATTGTATTATTTCATAATCCTAAAACGTGATTTGTTTAATAATCAATCTTCTCATTATGTTCTGTATTAATAGAAACTAGTCGAAATATTATTACTCGTATTGATCAATTCATTCAGTTGTTAGATAAATAGACAATATTGATATTCAGTGATCGCCAGGCGATAATAAAAGTCATATTTATCTAGGGCATAGTGATGATCGAATTCGATTGATCAAGTTGTGTTAATCATGAATACTAGTATGAATGACTTGACATCATTGAACTATGAATTGATTTAGCAAGGATGAAGGTGGTTAACAAGTGGATCTCAAATTAGGTACTCGTCAGTGATGAGAGATTTGCAATGAAAAGACTCCTGATGTTGCGATCAAACTCTTTACAATGAGAATATGATATTATTGTTAATTTGTTGATGATTAGTACATTTATAATTATATGACTTAATTTACACTCTATACCTTTAAACAGTTAAGGTTCAAGTGTTCATAAATCTGTGAATTGGTTTATCAATATGAAATAAATTGTCAGTAGTCAATAACTGTAGGTGATACATATCTTGCATTTTTGGTTTAGATGAAAATAAACAGCGTAAGTTGATGGAACAACTAATTAAATTTAATAATAGTTCATTCAGCACATTCTAACTAATATAGGTTTATGTATTCAGCTTTAAAAAATATTAATTGTGATATTAGTAGATAGAAGAATATATGTACTACTACAAAAAATTTACAGAGACTACTGAATTTCTCAGATTACACCATGGACTGACTTCAGATAGACAGCCACTGAAAAAAGGAATAACTAAATAACTGTTTCGTCTCATCATGTAATTCCTCCTCTGTGTTATTCCACAATCCCACTGAGGACCCTAAGCTTTCACTTAACTTTTAGACAGTGGTTTACAAGTGTAGTTTCAATCCATTAGTGACAGTAGGAGACCATCTTCAATTGTTTTTAATAGGTAACTATCTCGGACGTGACACGGTGGAATCTCATCGGTTTCTGTATCTCACTAGAATCCCACAAATTAACCTTCAGAATTCTTATTAGGTTGATAGAATGTTTATTATTACTGTAATCATGGCTGCCATTACCAATAATAGCAGTCGTAGAAGGAGAAAGGTTGTTACCATTCGAATTAGTATCAGTACCATTCTTACTGTAAAATAGTAATAAAACGACCAATACTTATTCACTATTTAAAAAAGAACCATTGTTATTTTAACTAAATTCTGCTTATTTCGAGAGAGAAATTTTCCTGATGTATGGACATGCAATTAAGGAACACTGAGAAATATCGGC